ACGGTTGCCTGGTGTTAAACTGGATCGGACATCACCTCTTCCTGAAAGTTCTGAAGTGTGTTTCCTTGACTGGATTTTAACTGATGCTTGGTTGAAAACAACATAGAATATATTTCAATATAATGGAGGTTCCCATTACCAAATTTATATCATGGAATCAAATCCCAATGTCTGTCTCCATGTTGCAAAAACACAACAGGAGGTAGTATAGATATTATTTCCCTAGTGGGTCATTTGGGAACATTATATAAAGTCTTGCAAATCATTCCTAAGCTAGTAAGAAAGTCCACAAATCATTTCTTGGGACTTATTTCATCACCACCTATCCGTTTGTTGTACTGTGGTGGCTCGTGTGTTGTTGTGATGCTGGATGCCACCATTATTTCAGGTACCACCCACAGTGGATAAGTTTCAGTAGAGCCTCCAGATTCAGATAGACTAGGAAGGAAGGCTCGACAAACTAATTCTGAAAATTCTACAGTAAAAACCCTGTGAACAAGAATAAAATACAACGCAATGCTAGATGATGAAACTCTTAGGGTATAAGACGGGTATAAGACACTAAAACACGTGTTGGCCACAACAATGGATTCCAGCAGACCAACCATTTCAAAGCTGGTAAAGAGCTGGACCAGCTGTGACTCTGGTGTAGGGAAGTCAGCTAGAGTCAAGACCAACTCAATGGCTACTCATCAGAATCAGAGTTATTCATAGGACTGCTCACGTAGACTCTGACATCCCTGTCACCTACAGAATCGTTTCAAAAACAGCACCATCGATTGTATCTGCGTAGACAGCCCTGAGAACTACGCTCAACACCCTGATGTTTTATGGCTCATTATACCAGTAGCTATGAGTCGGCATCTTCTCCACAGCAGTGGGTTAGAGGGTATTCTTGGGTATACCACTTCTCTTTTCATTAGACAAGTAACCAGGAGAGTGATTGAACTGTCTGTAAATTCACCAATTCTTGTTGCCTTTTTCCCAATTTGGATCAACACAAATTTTAATTAAACTCCGAATCCAACAAGTTCCAACCCCTCTGATGACTTCTTCCATAAAAAAATGTATCACCTCAACTTAACAAGGTACAGGTTTGGTAGGGGTGGTTTTTCATGTTTTTCATGTTTCCCAGAGAAGAGAAGGGCAGGAGCTCTTCTTTGTACTCGCTTCTCTCAACTGCAACTAATCCAACTTTTATGGAAGAAAATGGCACTGAAGCCGTAATCACACAGGCTGACTAAGGAAAGAATAATGCAGCTCTTTTGAGTGAGGATTAAGTTGTGTTGGTTGATGGGTTTGGAAAAACAATATTATACTTGGCTTCTAGATAAATACTGCAGAGACCTCTTGTAAATCCTCCAGTAATTTTTTATAATCCTTCACAAGTAGTAAAATCATTGCTGTGAGGCAGACGAAAAAGGAACCTACAAATAAGACATCTGTTATTGTTATATCAATGATGATATATACTCAACTCTGAAATAACAACATTTAACAAGGAATGGAACCTTATCCAAAATGAGATCTCACTCACTTCCATGACTTCATTTGCTACATTAGTAAGAGTAAACTGAAGTTTATAATTGGATGATCTTATCTATTTAGCATTAGTAATATATCACAGGTCTAAGGCTTTATATATTAGTTTAATGGAATTCAAAGTGTTGGAAAAGTCCCATGCTAACAAATAGAATGTACAGACAGATGAGAAAGATGATCCATTGAGTAAACATAATAAACTTTGGACCATGTATCTTTTGTTCTGTTTTTAAAGGAAATTTGCCTCTCTTAAATTATCAGTTAACTTTCCACACATGGAAGGTAATTTTTACAAAAGTGCAGATGAAACCAAATATAATTTGAAGCCAGAATGAAAACTATTGAGGGCTTTAATGCTCTCAAAAGAAATTTCCCCCAAATCTTCTTACTTAAAATAAAGATCCAGAAAAGTACCTTATTACTTGAATTGAACATATGTTTTCAATGCCCAGGTGGAACACAAATTCTAAGGGTTATGTTCCCACATAGCTATGAGATTATTTAAGAACTACAAGTGAGAAATTTTGCAGTGCCATGATCAATTATTTGCCAGCATGCATTCATATGAAAATCAAAGGAATAGGCACCTTAAAAATGTCTGCCTGGAGCATTATGCTTTTGAAATGATTATCTGTATGGAATCAAAATGATAGCAGCAACTTGAAGGATTAGATGGGAACCTTAGGGGGCAGTAAGTTGGTATTAATGAGAGAGGAGCACATCAGAAAGGAAACTGAGAATAGAAGCACACCTTGAAAATGTTATCAGTGTCACTAAATTGTCCATGTAGAAATGACTGAATCTGTAGGTTGTGGTTTGTGTTCTTGTGGGAGCTGGATGATTTTATGTGAACCAGACCCTTCTGGCTAGGGATGGTCAAACCTGTCAATCAAATGGTAGTTTGATGACACCTTCGTGGGGGTGTGGCCTTTTGTATTAGTGTGTGTGTGGGGAAATCCAGGAACTCTTTCTGTCTCTGCTCCCTTGCCTTCCTCTTTGCTGGGACTTCACTGGGACTGTGTGTCTACCTCCAGGGTGGCCTCGTGTGGGCCACCTAACCCTGAGAGCTGTCGCTGCCCTGCCATGCTTCCACAGATCTTTGGATCCACAAGACCCTGCACCAGCCCGCCTGTAATCTTCTGTTTCCCAGTTCACCATGCTGCGTAACAGGCATGTGGCTGCATGAGTCTGAGAAGGGACTTATGGACTAGCAGCAGACTTATGGACTTCAGTTGGACTGGGCTGGGATGCCTTCTTGATATATAAGTATTTCTTGATATAAAATTCATTCTTATACATATATGAGTGTCACTGGATTTATTTCTCTAGAGAAGCCAGCCTAACACAGTTCTTAAAAATAACAATATAATTTTCAAAAATGCCTTCAGATGACATTCATGAATCTCTGGGTTTTTTATTTATCTTTCTGATGACTTTGTGTGATTCCTGTAGTTAATGCTGTATTTTATATCCTAGTAAAACAAACATTTTCTTAGTTCTCACACTTGAAAAGTGCCAACTGTATCGTCCATTTCCCAGTTTCTCTTTAGTCTCATTCTCTGTAGTACAGATAGGTTAAAAAGTCCTCTCTAGTGGGTGTTTAGTAAAAGGCAAAAGATTTATACAATTTGAAGAGAAACCGGAGTATATGGGTGTTTAGTTTAAACTATGTTTCATTTCTTTTTGAGACTTTGCCAGAGATGGGGACGGCAGAAGCCAAAAGTTAGAATGTTGTCTGAACTTGCCTGGAAAATGGGTGTGAGGGACAAGAGGACCCATCTAGGTCTCCCAGTGTCTACAAAAGATATATGGAAATTGCCTCTCCCTTGAGTTTCCATGATAACCGTCTCTCCTCGGTCTGCATCTACTTCTTTGACCTGACCCCTCCATCTGTTTCCTTCATTAGCTCTCATTCTTCTTCCCAACTGCTGTCTGTCGGGGCTTTTCTAGGGTCCTCCCTGCCCAGCTTTTCTAACTATAGCCTTACCCCTACTATACTTGATGGCTCAAAATGAATGACGACGGGGTGCACAGATGGGGTGCGGCAGGTATGATGAGTCTTATGTAGATTTTCACGGTAATTCTAAACCTGATTGCCTTATAGTGTCATACTGAGAAACCCATTTTACTGTGAATAAATCCGTGAGCAACATCAATTCTGGGCCCTCCTAAGGATAGGCCTGCTTTCTAAATGGCAAATTGGATAAATGTGTTCCGTGTGTGTGTGTGTGTGTGTGTGTGTGTGTGTGTGTGTGTTTAAAGTAATAGTAAAACAACTTTCAACCCGAATTAAAAAGCGGGGAGGCATGTTTAACCATTACTGAGAAGGTTCAGTGAGCTTTAACGCTATCAGATATCTAACCACATTAATCTGTTAAACTCCTTAAGAAGTAAGTATCAGCCACTACTTTCCGACCCCCTCTGTTATATCTAGAGGTATCTAGTAAGTGCTGGCCTCAAGTCCTGAGGTTGGAAAGGACATTAGGGGATTTCTTCCTGATCAGCAGGTAGGATCTAGAATTAGTCTTGCTCTGTAAGCTCTTTAAGACTTGTGGTTTCTAAGATTAGTTCTGGTATTCATCTCTTCCCTAAGTTGAAGGCTTCCCTTTGACCTTCTACTTCTCTCTAGTAAGTACAGATAAATACGTCTTCCTAAAGAACCCACTAATCCAAAAATCTTACAGTCATAATCACAGTAATAACATATCATTCATCAAAAACCTAATATGTGCCTGCTGCATACATTATTTGTATAATGCTTGCCCTCTCATAGGAAAGCTTCAGTGCTAAATAAGAACAAAAAATGATTAGTCTAACTTCTCTGAGCATCTTTTTCTTCACTTATAGATCAAGGATATGTGCTTACCTTACCGGTTAATTTTAAGATCAAGAAATAAACAAATAGATTTATTGTTGATTCAATTCTGACTCATGGAAAGCTCACGTTGTACACAGCAGAATTGCTACTCCTAAGGCTTTTCTTGACTAATTTTTATGGAAGTAAATTGCTAAGCCACCAGGCCTTTCTTTCGTTCAAACTGACAACCTTTAGGTAAAAAGCCCAAACAACAACAACAACACTCATTGGTACCCCCAAGGACCTTTTCATTTTAAGATTACAGGTCAGGCAAAGGATGCACACTGACTTAAAGAGAGCGTGCTCTAGGCTGCTTATCATCAGGTGCTAAGCCAGGGCTCAGACTCATGGTAAAAGTCTGTGATCATCTTGTTTCACTGAAATACAGCCTGAGACTTCCAGCTCTGCGGGGAGCACGGGACTTTTTTAGTACCCAGGGGTACCAGATAAATTTTAGGATATCCACTTACGTTGTAATTTCAGGCCAACAAAGAAAATATTTTAATATGCATGCATACAAAATATTGTGCAAACACGCTTACTAGTGAACATTTACCTAAAATTCAAATTCACTGTTTGTTTTGTTTCCCCCGTAAATCAGGCAACCCTACGCATACTTCAGAAAAACTGCTCAAGTGTCAGGAATGGACTCCTTGAGGCTAAAAGGAGGTAAGCTTTTATTTTCAAGCCATAGCCTGTCAAGACTGCAAAGACTCTTGTAGGTCATCCGTGCTTTTCTAACCAACAAGTAAAGGAGAGACACAACGAGGCAACAAAAGCCACCCACTGGCATGGAGCCCATTCCAACCCGCCGTGACCCGACAAGGAGCTTTGGGGTAATCAATCATCAGGGGAGCCGATACCCTCATCTTTCTCCTGCAGAGCGGCTTCTGGGCTTGAACTACTGATGGCAGGGTGAGCAGCACAACACCTAACCCAACGTCCAGGAACGTGACTTGCGTGAAGCCCCGCTGTTCTTATGCAGAGCAGAGACAAGACCTGCAGCCAGGGTTCCACTGGCTTTTGTCAATGCTGGATCCCCGTTGCCTACAGTTTTTGAAAAGATTAGAACTAATCTAAAGTTTGCTGATGAAAGAAACGTGTTTCAGACATTGTAGGAACTTAATAAGTGTTCTGGTCAAATTGCTGACTCGATGCTGACCTGGTACTTAATGCAATGCTTTACCTGGAAGAGACATCCCATCAGTATCTGTCGATAGGAATATGTAAGTGCCCTATCATTAATCTGTATGCATATTCATCATGAGGATTTTCAGAGAATGTTGTTATCTGCCACATGCATTATTAGTGGCACTTGATAAATGTGGAACTAATTCATATCAGCCCAGTTTCGGTATCCTTGACGTCTACAGTGATCAGTAGAGATACTAACCCAGCCACCCACTGCCACCGAGGTGATTCCAACTCAAAGTGTGGTACAGGACAGGATAGAAGTGCTCCTTAGGGTCCCTGAAGCGGCACAATTTTCATCAGAGTAGATCACCTCAGCTTCCTCCCGGAGATGCTGAGGAAGCCCAAATATAGGGAAAGGAGGGAGCTCGGAATTGTGTGAGCAGAGTGGTTGTACCGGTCACATTCCACTATTGGGGGTATGAAAGGTGTGGAGGCTTCACTGAAAAGTGCTCTCAATGTAAACGAAGCACCTGGATTTTGGAGACTTAGAACAAAAAAAGCAAGTGTCAAAGCTCAAAGAAATTTGTTACATTAATTACAGGTTGAAATGGTAATATTTTGCTAGATTTGGATTAGATAAAAAGAAACCATTAAAATGAATTTCATCTATTTTCTTTTGAACTTTTAAAATGTGACAACTTGTACCTCAGGTCATATTTCTGTTGACTAGCACCATTCCAGTGGATGCACACGATTTGCTTACACAGTAAAGAAAGAGATTAGGATACACACACACACACACACACACACACACACACACACTCGTTCTTGCTACCTGTTTATAATAGCATTTACCTCATGTGTTTGCTTCATTGAAAATCTATGTTATGGCTTTAGAAAGTATGAGGCACTGTAACAATAAGAAATATCTTTAACATCATTGTTCTTAAGAAGGATTAAATTTCGTCATTGGATTTTCTCTTTGGGGCTCATCCATGATTGCCAGGCTGCTTACCTCTTTAAGGCAAGTCATTTAGAGATAATTCCATTAAAGACATCAATTTCCTAATGTACATCCAAGAGAATCTATTCCCACCGTCCATGGCGCATAAGACTGTCAGAACAATGAATAATATGGCCCCATTGTTGCTGGCAGATGGGACTCATTCACTTCTTAGGGTGCATGTTTGGAGATACTTTTTTATCCTTGCCCTCATTTGCAGCTGCTGTCATGGTCATATACGTATGACGGCTCCTGCAGCTTGCTCCTTACTTTTCCTTCCCCGCAAATGAGAAAGCCTTGCTGTAAGGTCCAAGGTTGTGAACATATATTATTGGTTAGTGCCTTTCCATCTCTTCTTCTATTTCACCTTAAACTTAGATAACTCACGAATACCGATAGTAAAAGTTATCTGAAATAGACAAAGACACAATCTGACTCCACTTCCAAAGTCCCCTAAGAAAGCCGCCTGAACGAGACGCTACAGTCTCAAGTCCTTTCTTCTCTGGACGTTTTCAATTCTAAGCTCTTGTCTTTGCCATGGGAGCTATTTTTCACTTTATGTCTGTCGCGAAAGCCAGTATCTCTTCAAGTAAGGCCAGCATTGGCTTAAGAGGAGAACAGATGAATAGTTTGGAGGATTTTTTGTTGTTGTTTTTGCCATTTCAACCTCATCTTTGTTAGTGCGTCTGCACTCTGAGTGACCTTTCTTGGTTCTGTTTTTAATTCTCCTTATATACCAGCTTTTAGTGGAGACTGTGTGCTTTAAGTAACAAGGTCAAATTTCTGAGCCCTTGTATGCTCTCCCAATGATTTCTAGCCCTCTTTAATCCCTCCCTACACCAACTGCTGCCGTAATGAGGGGCAAGGGGTGGCTGCGGAGTGGGGTCATGGGCTTTCAGTGGATAGTTATAGATTTCTCTGGTGCTTACATGAAACAGCTCTGCTGGGTTTCCCGGAGGTGGGTAAAACAAGAAAGACGAAAGGACAGAAATTGCTGAATTCCATGACCATCTATTGATATGGTTTGTATGTGTTTTGATTATTGACTTCTCCTGCTGCATTGTTCATCCTTAGTAATGGCAGGGAGAAGCTTTCCTAAATCATGTAAACAATGCACCTGAGTGCACACAAGAAGTGTTGTTGCACTTGTTCGTCCAGAAGAAGCAGTGGTCTCTTGCCCAGAAGTGTCACAGTATAGAGGGAGCTTTCTATTGACTAATGAGCCAGAATTTCTTTGACCTGTCTGCTCTTTGGTTATACATCACTAAAACCATCCTACCTTTCAGTCACTAGTGGTTATGCATGGGGCCACTAACTGCAAAGTCTGCAGTTCGAAACTGCTAGCTTCTCTGTGGGAAAAAGATGAGGTTTTCTACTTCTGTGAAGAGTTACAGTCTTGCAAACCCACGGGGTAGTTCTAATCTGTCCTATGTGGTCTCTGTGGGTTGGCATTGACTCAATGGCAGTGAGTTTTTCAATCTCTGCAAGTATATGTAAAGACAGAATTCTAGTGATATCTGGTTATGGATCTAGCATTTAGTAAACATATTTATAGTCATTCTGCAACCTTTATTACAAAATAGAACAATTTTAAATTGTGAGCATATGAGAGTTAGTCCTAAAAATCTTAATGAAAACGATATTGAATTATGAACACTGTGAAGAGCTGTTATTGTCAGTTTAGAGCATAATACCAATGACTGTTTTTGAAGAAATACCATGAAGGAATTTTTGGCATTATTCATGAGATACTATAATAAACAATTTCCTCTTGGGATGGAGAGATGGGACACACTGAAACAACCTACTACATCATTAATTTTCCCCTAAGTTTGGTCATTCACGGACATTCAACAAATGTGTCTATAATGAGCACCAACTTTATGCTAAGTGTTCTCTTAGAATGCTCTGTTAGATTGAATTGTTTCCCCCCCAAACGTGTGTCAATGTGGCTAGATCACGATTCTCAATATTACTTAATTATCCACTAGTTTGTGTTTTGATGTAATTATCATACGTGTTCTAAACCCCAGCCTCTATGATGTTAATAAGGTAGAATATAATTGATAACATTGTCCTGCATCCGAGTCAACCCTTAGAAGTTATAAAACATATTAAAGAGACAAGCAGAAATGAGAGGACTATCCTTCTACCCAACCAGAAGTGCTGGGAGTAGAGCGCTTCCTTTGCTTCTAGGGTCCGTGTGCTGAAAGCTCTCTAGACTTAGAAGACGGATCCATGACGCATGGAGAGCTCTGGGTACTTCGGGCCCCAGATGTTGACAGAGGGCGAGGACATCCCCTGAGACGACAGAAGGATCAAGCCTGCTCTCCAGCTGGTGCACACAGCTCAGACTTCTCACCTCCCAAACTGTAAGAGAACTTTCATTTGTGAAAGCCCTCCACTGTGACTTATCTGTTACAGCAGCGCTAGAAGCCCAAGACAAACGTTCTGTCTATCAATAGCTATATTGATACAAAGATTTGAGCAATTATTCAAGCAATTGCCACCTGGTTCGTTATTTGTGTGTGCATGCGTTTTCCTTATTATTATATGATGAGAACGCTCCATGGCCTCAAAGGCACATTGATATTAGCCCCAAACCTTAAGGAGATTACATTTTTGCAGAGGACAGGAAACGTATATCAATAACTGCAATGCAAGAGTACATGTGGCAAATGCCATAGAAGTACAAATGCGCTGTAATAGTGGTACAGGAATAGCAAGGATGACTTCTAACAGGCAGCGCCTCTCACAGGATACTAGGGGAAAATCACAAGAAGAACTTTCAGAGATGCTAACAGGTACAGAGGTCAGGAGGATACCAAAGAGATTCGAGGAGGAGATGCGATTAGAAAGACACATCACCCTGTTTGAGGTGTACCGTCGATGAAATAAAATTTGTTGTTAATTGCTGGCTACATCGGGGTAGGTCCATGTGGCTTCTCCTCAGGGATGTCTTGCAGGAAGTGAGCCTTGCCAGCTGAAACTGGGAACTGGTTAAGGCAGCTGCACCCTGGTCTGACCATCACAAAGCAAGAGACCCAAGAACTCGAAAGGCGAGTCTTCCCAGCCATTCATCTCTCCACATGTGTTTCTCAGCCAGGTTGGCACAATAAACTCCCTCAGGCAGTGAAAACAACGTGAATTACAGTGGCATGTTGTCTGATATAGTGCTGGAAGACGAGCGTCTCAGGTTAGAAGGCGCTTGAAATATAACTAGGGAAGAACCATCTCCTCAAGTAGAGTCAAATTTAATGCATGTGTAGAATAAAGCTGTCAAGGACCTTCATATGCTAAGGAAGGGTGAATAAAATGAGGAGAAATAGCTGCAAATTCCCTTTAATAATTGGAATGTGAAGTGTTTAAAGAATGAATGGAAGAAAATTGTAAGTCATAAAGAATGTAATAGGACATTTAAAGATTGGTATACAGGACATTAATGATCTTAATGTTGGCCAATTTGAATCTGATCATCGTATTGCCTACTATGCAAACTATGAGAGATTTGAGAGGAATAACATAATGTCAC